CTGAGAAATTAAATTGCTTATGATTTGACCCTGAAATTTGCTTATATTTGCACTGTGACTGCTCTTCCACTAACCCATTATAATGTTTCGTTAGCATCTTGCCTAGTGTGTGCACTCGTCTTTCTTTCCCCACACAGTTGCAAAATGGCAGAAGGTAGGGTTATTTTACACATTTGTTCAGTACCGACTCAGTCAAAGATCCTTATTGAGCTGCAAAACCTTAGCTTCCTGCCTGAGTCCTTCACACTTCCGTTTCTCTTTACTTAGTTCCGCATTCCCCATTCTTACCAGCATTTCTATTGAGTAAGGAGAACAAAGGCTCAACTTTATTGATATTTCTCCTCCTATGGTTTTCTGGTGCAGAGAAAAAGAAGCATCAAAAGGAAAGCATATTTATGTGCAGGAACCCAAATTGGCCCAAATTGACCCCCTAGTTTTCTGGATGCTTGACTATTGTATTCAGGAAACAATAAACCCCAAGTTCCTTGAAAAGAGTATCATTATACACTTGTCAGTATTTTCTGAAACAGTATTTACTAGAAGTGGGTGCTAGATCAAATGATATGCACACTTGTAGTTTAAAAGAATATAGCCAGATTTATTTTCCAAAATTTACAGAAATTTTTACTCATCACTGCTCTTGAGAGTGTGTGAATGTTGCTTTCCTCGTTGCCCTAATCTCATGGGCATTGGGTGTTAACAAAATCTTACATTTTTATCAATCTGAAGGGATAAAAGTTGTATTTTATTGTTTTATTTTCATTTTCCTGAATATCAATTTTCCTTGTGCTGTACATTGTTCATACTAACTTGAAGAACTACTTATATCTTAAGAGTATTAGTCGCTTTTTTGTGTACGTGTAGCAAATGTTTTTCCCAGTTGGTGATTGCTCTTTTAATTTGATTAAGTTGCCTTTTTCCATTCAAAGGTTTTTTTGTTTCATTGTTTTCTAATTTCATCTGGTATTTTATTTTTCCATTATAGCTTTTTGTTTCCATCTTCCTTACTAAGCTTCCCTTTACCCCTAAGGATATATACACCCCTAACTTAATTTTTTTTTCTTTTAATTCTTTTATTTTTATGGTGGGAACTTTTGTCTTAAATTTATATTCGTCTATGAGCACACAGTTGGAGTTACATTTATTTTCTTCCAATAAATAATGATTACCTCAATACCAATTGCTAGTAAATTCATAATTTCCCCACTGACTTGTAGACTAGTTGTTTCATTTATTGAGTTCTCCTACACATGGGAAGTTTTTTCTGGCTTTTGAATTCAGTTCCTTGATTTAAGTGTCTATGCCTAAGCAAGCACTTTATTATTTTGAATATAGTAGCTTTACATTGTTTCAATAAACAGTAAATCATTTCACCATATTACATTATTGTTTTAAGACTTTTAAGCAATTTTGTATATTTTTCTTCCACATGGACTTCACAATCAGTTTATCAAATCCTAAAAATAATTGCAGCACTTTTTTTTTGTTATTTTAAGAAGCTGGGAACAATATAAGTGTCTATAAGTAGGAAAACAGTTGAATAATTCAGTGCTTCCAAATTATGGAATAAATGTAGATCATCCAAATTATGGAATACCATCTATCAAAGAGAATGAGGTAGACCAAATTTTTACAGAAGTCAACACATATATGTGCAGCAAAGGTGTCAAGTATAATAAATATAGGAAATTATAAGATAAAATATTTAATGCAATTCCACATTTGTAAGAAAAACAACAATCCCTCCTCCTACATGTGCATGTATATTTGAATAAGCAAATTAAAAAATATGGAGTGATACAATATTTTTGGTAATGACTTTCAGGGATGTGGGCTTATTTCTCTGAACTAATAATATTACTTTAGATGCTTTAAATCTTGTATTCATGTATTCATGAATACTTATTCATGTATTACTTATATGTATTACTTATTCATGTATTACTTATATGTATTACTTATATAATTAAAACATTCAAATGTCAAATTAAAATTAGTATTCTTGCTATATGCAAGGAAGCAAACAACAACAAGAAAAAAAGAGTTAAACCTCCATTGACCCTTTTATATTGTTATACACTGCAGAATCTGTATTAGGTAGTAAGCCTCTCATCATGAGGTAATTTTTCCAGCTGTCTCCTGTAGCATGCAATGCACAATGTTTTGCTCTCAATTTATGTACAAATCTCAAATAGCATATAAATCCAGATCAGAGTATGTTCAGATATCTTATAGACTAAGTTCCCCAATGCATAGATGAAGTATGTAAAATGTTAAATACTTTGGCCAAGTGTAACATGTAATGTGCCCAGACAGAAATAAATCAGCTTTATGAATAAAACTTCAGGTGGCATACCTTGACTGGCTCTGCTCACATCTTGATATTACAAGTTTCTAGGATTCACAATTTCAACATTCAAAATACCTATGGAGTTCTTTTACTTAAGATCTTATAATGACCACAAAGAATTCTTTATGGATGACTGAACTCCACGTAGAAATAAAGAAAACCACATACAGTCAAATTTGCTATCAAGTAACCAATAAGCTGGATGAAGCCCACAGGTGGTTTTGTTCCCCTGAAGGAAATTTTTATAAAATTTAAAATAATTGAAAATATATTTGGAAATCATGATATTTTTCTTATTACTCTTGAAAAATCAGAATATCTGAGGAAACTGGATTTACTTTTTGGTACAGTAACTAATGGTCTTGTGGGAGGATTATTTGGAAATCTCAAGCGTTATCTGCTAATGAAATCTAGCAATTAAACTTACCACTTCCTCCTTGGTTGTTAACAGCTGGAAAATCAATTATATCCCGTGATTGGACCATAAATAAGCGGCCTTTGGTCATTATAAACAACAGGCTCCAATTCTATACAAAATATAAACCTGACCCCAAGCTAAGAAATTGAAAGTTAAGTTGTCAGTGACTTAAGTGCTGAAGTCCCCCACATTGCCTAACATGATCCTCTCAGAAGTTTCTTTTCTTGGATGCAAACCAGGAGTCATGTGCTGATTTATCAGGAAGCAAGCCATATCAGCAAGACCTGACCTTGGAGACCACACAAGGGTGGGACTCAGACTTTACTGAAATGAGGAGTATCCCTATTATAGCAAGTGTCCCCTTAGCTAAAATAATATAGTGCCTTTTGGTTAAGAGCTAGGGGAATCTATTCTTTTACTTTGGGCAAACATACATAGAACACATATGTGGAGAGCTAGGGAAGCATGTAGGAAAGTGGAGCTCCTGTTTATATTCAATACAAACTCCCACAATGGAGAGCTCACTCCCTCTCAGGGCAGCCCTTTCCCTCCCTAAGTGGTTTTGACTGTGACACAGGAACTTGGAATCCTGGCTCCCCAGCCCCTCTCAATTTCTTAGTTCCCCCGCTGGGGTCTCTTAGGAGGCATCTGCTCAAGGTTCCTGGGGGTGGGGCGGGGGCACTGTGTTCAAGCTCCACCCTCACTCCAGCCCGACTCAAGAAACATATATACACTAATAAGTATAAAATGGATAACTAATAAGAACCTGCTGTATAAAAAATAAAATTCAAAAATTCAAAATAAAAAGAACTAAGAAGCATTAAAACAGAAATAATTTTTATATGTGATGCTTTCCTCCATAATTTCGAAATAAACTGCAAATAAAAGAAAGAAAAGAAACATTTGCTCATTTATTCATAGTTATTCAGAGTAGCCTAGAGGTTAAAAGCCTGGCTCCTGGAAACTGACAACCCTACAATTCAATCCTGGTTCTGTAATTTTATACAAGTTACTAAACAACTATGAGCTTCCCCTTGCTATTCTGCAAGGATATCATGAAGCTACTGATCGCCAGGATTAAGTGGGATAATTACTGTAAACAATTTAGCACAGGATCTGGCACTTTGTAAGTGCTTATCCAGAGGGGTAAGAATAGTCAAATGCTGTCAAATTAAGTCAAGACTTAATTCCTATACAATTGGAAAAGGAGGTCTATGTAGTTCAACTGGAGACCCATGTAGATATGCACTAATGAGGTTTTATCACCAAATAACTTTGGGGATACTAAATTATGCCAAATTAAATACACTCCTTTCCTCAAAACTGCTCTGAGTATTAATAAGCTAATATGCACTGTTACTTTCTAAGAAGGTACGTAGTAGGTAGCATCTCCTCAATTTTCTTTTCATCCAAGGAATAATTTTACAAAGGAGCGTTTTGAAGAATTATCATTCCTAGGAACAGCAGTTTGGGAAAGGATCATCTATTAGGTATGACATTTCAGTCTTCTATATTTTGATTAAAAAAATGTCCAGGCCAGGGCTGTAGTTTTAGTTTCCTAAAACTCATTTGTAATTTGCTTTGGGTAATTTAGCATTTTAAATAATAATTACAGTAATAGTAATAACAATAATATGAGAACAAAATATTATATAGTGCTTATATTCCAGACTTTGTGCCAAGTGCTTTACATATATGAACACGTTTAGATATTTAGAACTATTTTATCTGCCTGAAAAAAAAAGCCTGTACTGCTGGATGTCAAAGATGGAAGTCTATCTAGTTCAACATGCCTATTTTTCTGAAGCTCATAATGCTCTCAAATGGTAGAGTTAGGACTAAGGTGCATGCCTGTTAACCCCTTGCACTATTTTCCTTTTAAATCCCCAGTCTCTGATGCTATGACACCACCTGGTCTTTTTTCCAGAGATCTAAATATTTAAAATAGCTGGGAGAGGTCACTTTGCTCAACTACGCTTTTCTACCATTATGAGGTCTTTTAAAATTCCACACTATAATTTATTATCTTTCCAACTTTAACGATTTCAAAATAAGTCCTACAAACTCAGACAGAATTCAGCTGTTCAGAATTTTCCTCTACTGAAAATGTCCCCTGAAGAATTTGATTTAAGATGATGACCTTACAAATGTTGCATTTTCCTATCTAAAATCGAAAGGGAAATGATAAGCAAAGAGGCTTTACAAATATTTTTTGTTTCCTTCTAGTGCTGCTTTGAACTCTTGACTCCAGGCTCTTTGAGAAAGAAGCATAATGGTGGAAATTAAAGTTCTCTGATGGGACCAAGTGGTAGAACAAGATTTCTTACCTTTCCAGTCTGTCCTGGAAGGACCACCAAGGTGAGATGTGATTTTAATCTCTGGGCCCACTGTGTTCTTGGCCTTTCTGTGTGAACTGTCAACAAGGGTGCTAACGACTGCCAACTGTTATGGCAAAAAACAGGAGTCCATGCAGAATTGAGCTGATATAACTGCTTCGTTTCACTGAAAGCATTCAATCACCTTCTGCTGCCAGCAGCTTTCATCTACTCTCAGCGTAAGCCAGGTTGAACCAGTGACCCACAAGGCAGAACTACCAAGCATCACATTACCAAGCCAGGCAGTCTGGGATCACATGGGCTGGTTTACATCTCTCAGGCTGTGCCCCACTAATGACACCTCTCACACTGGACTGGATTTTTCCTCTGGCCTGTGGGCTTAGTATCACCTTTCACTGTTTTGTCCTTCTTAAGTGGGATCTGCCACTAGAAACTATAATGGTTCATTAGATGGTCCACACTGTATTATATTATATGAATTTAGAATCTATTATCTTTTTTCCACCCTTTGTCTTATACTAAGTTGCTTACATAAGAAAGAGAGGGAGAGACAGATTTCGTGGAGATGTTTAAAAGCCTCTTAGGTTGAATATCAGCTAAAATTCTCTAGGAACTTACTTTGAAGTGTTTATACTCACAAAATGTCACTAGTATCACCAGGACAGTTAATTTTTTGTATTCAGTGAATCCATATTATATCATTTGAATGAGTGTAACATAAACTAGAGGTTTCCTCAGATAACCTAAATTATTTAGGAACAATTTTCCAGTGACTTCTATTTGAATACTCATGACCCTTGGCAGTGCTATGGGTAAATGTTTAGCAACCAACTATGTGGGGGAATAAATGCACTGATTTGTAGCATTCACCTATTTCTGTGGTTTAAATAGTCCTAAGGTGGCCAATTTCAGGCTATCAATATGACATCACTAAAATCAGATTTGGGAAAAGATGTGCAGTAGAGAAACATTATGTAGTATTCCCACCATACAGATACAATGGACACATAGTCTCAAGGCCCTTGATAACAGTAAAATGTAGTAAAATAATTAGGATTTGGAAATTTAGTAAAATAATGTATGTGTAGTAAAGTATATAGTATTAACAGTGGTAATGGTATTTGTATTATTAGTGTAATTTATTATTAATGTTCCTATCATTAATATTATTAGTATTAAAAATAAAATGGGTCACAGAGGAACAAAAGGATTTACCTTTATTTTTAATATATTTATTTGATTATAGGTTTATAAAATTTAATTCTTTTTTTTTAACACCTTTATTGGAGTGTAACTGCTTTACAATGTTGTGTTAGTTTCTGCTGTATAGCAAAGTGAATCAGCTGTATGTATACATATATCCCCATATCCCCTCCCTCTGCGTCTCCCTCCCACCCTCCCTACCCCACCCCTCTAGGTGGTCACAAAGCACCGAGCTGATCTCCCTGTGCTATGCAGCTGCTTCCCACTAGCTATCTATTTTACATTTGGTAGTGTATATATGTCAATGCTACTCTCTCACTTTGTCCCAGCTTACCCTTCCCCCTCCCCGTGTCCTCAAGTCCATTCTCTACCTCTGCGTCTTTATTCCTGTCCTGCCCCTAGGTTCTTCAGAACCTTTTTTTTTTTTTTTAGATTCCGTATGTGTTAGCATACGGTATATGTTTTTCTTTTTCTGACTTACTTCACTCTGTATGACAGACTTTAGGTCCATCTGCCTCTTAAAATTTACTTCTTAATATGTTTGACCATCAACTGAAAAATTTCCTGAAAATTTAACAGTTGGCTTTTGCAAATTGGTGTGAGATGAAGAAATGGACGTGGAAAGGGCATTGGGTTGGAAGATGGTTGACCTAGGAAGTGAATAGCATTTAAGGGCAAAGGTTCAGGAGCCAGACTGCCTGAGTCCAAAGCCCAGATTCTCTGGTGACCTTGGACATGTTGCTTAACCACTCTGAATTTTAGTTTCCTTTAACGTAAAATACAAGAACGTAACCTACAAGAATATTGGGACTTTAAATAAGATAATCTTTGCACAGTGACTCTGTATAGTAAGCAAACAAGATTATTATTACCAAATTTCATCTAGGCCATAAATCCTATGTAATTATAGACAATTTATTTCCCTCAGCATTTCTTCATATGTAGATAAGGGGTTAAATACAAAATGATGTATAATCTTCCTCCTAGTTTTCAAACACGCACAGTGATTAAGACCTAGAGCTTTTTAAGTCAGATGGCCTAGATTCAGATCCTGGATCTCTTCATACAAGTTGTGAAGCTTTGGACAAATTAATTCATTTCTCCTATCCTTGCCTTATTGATCTGAAAGTCAGAAAGTAACACAAGAATTTGTTGCACAGAATTTTTTAAGGTTAAAACAAGGTGTTTAAAACCCAGTGTTCGGCACACAGTAGGTAATTTATAAAGCTAAGCTTTTAAATTAATGGTATTAGTATTGTTATAGCATATAAAATATTAATAGTAGTAGTATTTTTAGTATACCATGTAGCATTATTATAATGTATAATATTAATGTACATTACTATATATTACTATATATATAAATATATATTACTATAATTATATATAAATATATATTACTATATATTTTATATATTGCATATATATTGTAGTAGTATTGGTATTATTAGTAATATTTTTTAATATTATTAACATTAATATTATTAAGAAAATGGAGTACAAATGTACAAACGCTAATTTTTTTGTATATGGTATGCCCTCCCAAACCAAATCTTCATCCGAGGGACATGTCCCATGACTTCTCAAAATTAATATTAATAATAAAATATATACTGTAAGTAATAAGATAGGTAACATTTGGGCATTTTCTAGGTGTCAACCATTGTAGTAAGTGGTTCACATATAATTTAATGAACCTCTTTGAATCTCAGTTTTATTATTTATAAAATGACCTTAATACCTATCACATAAAGTTGTTGAGAGATTATAAACATTATAACACATTCAACATGGTGTCTGTAACAAAGTAGGCATGCGATAAATGGTAGCTAGTAATAATAATTGTAATAATAATAGAATGTAGTCTATAGGTTGTGAGAATATATTTATACTTTTTGAAACATCTTGCCATATTGCTTAGTGCATTACATATGCTAATTAAGCTAATTAAGCTATATATGCTATATATTATTGTTATATAATAAAAATAGGTTATAGGCATTTACTATTATTTACTATTTACTATCAATTTACCATTGAGAATGGTTTGGTAGGTCAGGGTGGAGATCAGAGAACAATTGAGAATACAGAGCTCAAAAGTGTTTTTTGGAAAGAGCTGCTATTGTGTTTTCATCTCTAGCTCCTTGTGGGAGAGGAGGTGGAAAGCGAAAATCTTTTCTTGAGGTGGAGGTCTGGCAGGGTTCCTGCAGCTGGAATGGGTTAGACATCACAAACACTAGGTTATGAGGTGTTACTATTGTAAGAAAGAGGTGTTAGACCAGCACTGGCATGAGATGGCAATGCTAATAATTATTCTCTCTAGTCTAATGGAATTGAATTGGGACAACTGGGTCTTCAGGGGAATCTGTTGAAAGCTGTGGGGTTTTGTTGTTGTCATTTGTTTATTTGCCGATACCATGTCTCTTGCTATCTTAAAGCACATTTTGCTTCTTCTGTGAGACATCAATGTATACTGTTAACTGTAGCTGTGTCCAAAACATTATCAAATTATTAATGATCCCATTTTTCATGTCTTCGTGTTTATCCATTGCACTTACAATGAATCATTTTAATAATTTCTTAAAATATCATCCTCAAGTCAGTCCATATGGCCTTCTGATCTCATACGCAGTAATAAACATGGAGACATGTGGTTAAAACATAAAATATTTCAGGATGCTCCAGTCCCTTATTCTACTGCCCCTCAAAGGAACAGAGTGAGCTGATCCAAAAGGCCAGATAGGAAATAAAAGTGATCTCATCCTCTCTCTTGGCATAGGCTGCCCCCTCCTTGGGGAATAATTACCTGATAAACTCAGGCTTCCCCCTTCAATGGCTCCAGAAAACACAGGGCTAGCTTTTCAGAACAAATTCAGCATTCATGCTGCTCATACCTGAGAACAGAGAAGATTAATTGATGTGGTTCTATTGAATGGTGTCCAGAAAACTGATTTTTGGTGAAACATTTTTCTGGACTATCTGAGCCTGAGTTCAAACACAGGGTGGAGTTCTCAACCAAGTCAGACACTGTGATTACATTCATAGAAATATAAATGCTAGTGGGAGGCCCTGAAAGATAAATAAAGTTACCATACAAGGGACACACCTGCGTGCATATGCAAGTAGGTGGACATTGAGGAATATGAATATGTGTGTGTCTGTGTGTGGGTGTGCAGAATACACAGATCAAATTTTAGCAATCCTGGTAATCAAAAATGCCAATTAGAATAATAAGGACATTCCATTTTGCTCATCAGATTTGAAAGGTAAAGTAAATAATGCTGATATTCTTAAAATTGTAGTGAAAAGATTGTTCATAAATAGTGCATATGAGAAAGTCAACTTGTACCATCTTTTTAAATGCTATTTAGAAATGGGAATCAAACAATAAAATAGGCCTCAAAATATAGATAATATATATTCTCTGATATAGTCATTTATCTTTGACACTGTGCTTGTAAAATATAAAGATAATTGTGACTGCAAAATTTATAGTATTAAAAAAATGAAAACTACCTAAAAATCCAACATTAGTTAGCAATAAAAATAAGATTTGTGATGACATTTTTGATATGTGAATTACTCTGGGTAAAAAAATAAAAGTGAAAATTGTATAGAGAACTTCATGACCTTAGCTGCATTAAAACATGAAGAAAATATCCAAGAATTAAGTTACTTCTTGCCAATGGCATTATGAGTCATTTTTGAGTATTTCTTTAATGTTCTCCGTAAACTATATAGTTAGAAAAATGAAAGTAATATTTTTAAAAATTATTTATTTATTTATGGCTGCATTGGATCTGTGTTGCTGTGGGTGAG